AGTTGCATTTTTCAGGAACATAACTACAATGTTAAGCGAGGAGTTACTGTAAAATATAAAACCGATTAACTACAGAAACCTTAGAGACTAACAAATTTATTAGAGCATAAGCTTTCGTGGACTACAGCCCACTTCTTCGGATGCATCGGATGCTTATGCTCTAATAAATTTGTTAGTCTCTAAGGTGCCACAAGTACTCCTGTTCTTTCATCCTAGTGTGATACCACAGACCTCTTTATGTTAAGTTAGAGACCCGTCTGTTTTTAGTGCTGCACCACGCATTTCATTGCTGTGCGGCCATTCTCACGTGCCCCCATGTCAGGCCCACGGAAGCAGGGAGGCCATATGGCTCTTACTGTAAGATCCTCAGAAACAAAGCAGCAGCAGAGGGACTTCCTTGGGACTGGACTTCTGATAAGAACGGTTTTGATCCCGGGGCTTATAAGTTAATTCCCATTTTTAATTAATCTTACAAAGCCAACTAAAATCAGATATTAAAATAAAAATGAAAAACATAGGCAGCTCAGGTTTATGCAAAAATTATAGTCAGGCTCCTTCAGGGAGAAAAAATAAATTTTCTGGGCCTGATTCTGATTTCACACCGGTGTGATATCAGTATTACCTCATTAGCTTCAAATGAATTATACTTGGTTTACACTGGCATTAGTGAGAAGTGATTTAGATCTTTTGACTGGAATTATGATTTTCTTTATATGCACTACAATCTTGATTATCTGAACCTATCAAAACTCACAACTATCTGAAGTAGATTCAGGTTCCTTGATAGATGTTAATTGCTTTAAAATCCCTTGATTTCCAAACTTCTTACTCAGTGTCCCACATGACACTTAGACAGTCAAGGCTGTATTGTGGATATATATTATATTATTCAGTTCTATCCAAATGTGGCTGCTTCATTAAAGAATATTCTCTGGTTTGCTGATTAGTTTTTTCATATATATGTAAGAAGCAAGAGGCCTCCAACTGCATGTAAAAAGCATGTTAGCAATCTGGCTGGCTTGTGAGTCTGTCACCTTGTGGGATTGTGTCTGTGTGCAAACATGCATACATTTCACACAGCAATCTGAAACTAGCAGTCAGAAAAGACACAGGAGCCTGGCTGAGACCCATACAACTGTTATATTGGCATCAGTCTAAAGAAAGCAATGATACATTGCTTTGAAAATTATCAAGAAATGTAAAAAAATGCATTTGCCCTTTTGTTGTTGTTGTTGTTGTCATAGCCATCGAAGGGGCAGGGTTTTGAGTCACAAAACAAAGCAGAAATAGATGCGATTCTGTACATGGCGCTCCTTCAGCTGTCCCTCTAGACTGGGGTGCGATCGGGCAGGGGAATGAAACAGGTTGAACCCCTCACAGTAGCAGCAGCATCTACATCATCATCATCATTCATATGTCCAGCTGAAGAGGCAGATGATGCAGAAAAGGTCTGTGGATAAGGAAACTCCAGCTCTGAATCATCAGTCCCACTTTTTCCATCATGGCAGCCATACAAAATAAGGAAGAAAAAAGAAATGCATCCAGTGTGACTGGCCTGGTGCTGCCTGGAGTAATGACCAGGGGTGATAAGAGAGCAGGTATGTTGTTTTGTAAGAAATGTCTTTAGTCTGCAGTGTATTGTTAGCAAGCTGCAGATCAACCACACTCAAATGATGAAGATAAGACTGTTTCCTCCTTTCTTATTCCGTACACAAAACTCCTCAATCATTCACTTCTTCAGTGTTTCCATCCACAGCGCAGTGATTGTACCTGACACTTGCTCCAATAAACAGGGAAAGGAAAGACACGTCAGGGAACTAAACCTGCCCTCTCCTCCCCACCATGGCCCAGACCCTGCCCCACTTGAAGGAGGCAGTAGCTCTTTGCTCAGGCCTATTGCAATCTGTAAGTCAGAAAGTACCTAAATGAATTGCCATCTTCCAAAGAGAGTGAAATTAGCACAGCTGGCAGCAGCAAGTTCTGATTTTTGTACCACTCCCAAATTATAAATATCATCTTCATCTGCATTGTCCTCTCTGCACAAGCATTTAAATCAATAGGATGTAGAGGACTGTTCAGTAGAGAGATGGGGTTTCTCCAGCCCTCTGCAGGGCGTGATCACTGAGGGAATAGGAGTTTTCACAGAAGGATGTAGATGATGTAAGCTTCATCCTCTAGCCTGAGGCCAAATCCTAAAAGGAAATGAGCACCTGCTGAGCATCCAGAGCTCCCACTGACTTCAGCAAAGACTACTACAGATTAGTAGCTTGTTTTTCAGAGGTGATGAGCACCAACAAATGTGACCACTAAATGTGCATCAAATGAACTATTCAGTCAAAGAGAATGAGTTAGGGAGATTCTGCCACCTGACTTCCTCTCAGAAATAGGTGATTAGCAGTGGAGTTATTTCATTTTCAATAGCACTGGACCTATGCATCACAACACTAAGAATGGAGACTCTTCAGAAGGTTTGGAGCTTTGATTTGGATCAGATAAGTAGCCAGAAATAAAACCCTGAATCCATATGCAAGTCATAGGCAAAACTCCATGAGAGTTTGTCTCAGTAAAGAACAAATGAAAATGCTCAGCACTTGGCTGATCGATGTCTATGCATAATTTTGCCTAGGTAAGTCTTGGATTTCAAGACTTTGACCCCCCCCCCTCCCCCACTGTGTAGCTAAACTGATGCAAGCTTCTTTGGTTCAATAAAAATCTCTTGAGAAGAGGGTTTTCCTTGTAAGATATCCAGGACATATTGAAGTGCTGATAATACCACTTGATAATACCACTGGGAATACAATACCACCAAAAATATCCCTTTGTTGTTTCTCCTTTAGGCCCCATTCAAGAGCAGGAAAGTCCAGAGGTAAATGAAAATATAAACAATACACATAATAAACTTAACATTTTCAGATCTCGGAATAAGCTCAAGTTTTGGATGAAAGTTTGGTTCTGATTTTCCTGAATCAGATCATTCTTCTTTATTCAGTATGGATCTGCAACTCTGGGATCCATCTGGAAAATGGAGCAAAACTTGTGAGAGTTTTAGACATAGACAGCCAAGATTCCACATGATGTAGTTTTTCAAGTGGTTTCAAATGAAGAATCCATTTCCAAGGAAAACCCAGCAAGTTGCATAAGATCTACATATTTCTCTTCTGGTTTGTCACTAGTAAGAGACAAGTGCCAGGCACAGGAGGGACAAGAGGAAGTTCAGATTCAATAACAAGATTGAGATGGGCAGGAGACATAGTGCCATTGACTTCAGTGGAGTTATGCCAGATTTAAAATGGTATGACTGAGGCCCAGAACCTGGCCCATAAACTCAAGTACGAGGAGAATGATGAGATTGCACATTGGAGTGCAAAATATGGGCTCATGTCACTAACCCTCTGTGTCTCCAGCTGAGAGCAGTACCAGAGCAATTCTCTTGAGTAACACTGGAATATCAGTCAAGGGCAGAGCTAGATTATTTTCCCTAGATAATGACTCTGCCTCTTGCATTTGCCTGTCATGTACCCCAGGAAACTCTATTATTGATGACCAAGAGTTAGAGATTCAGTGAAAGAAATATGAAATTATATATTATAATCCCATCCCCCCTGAGTTGCTGGTGCCAGCTGAGTTCCTAGAAATCTTACCAGATCAGCTTGGCATATGGATTTAGCCACCCTAGTGAGAAGAAATACTGAGAGAATCTGAGCACAGGGAAGAGGATGAAGACTGGATAAAATGTCCTGGTTTCAGGAAGCAAGATACTCTACTCAGAAATTAATTGTGCCTGTTTAAGGGAGTGAGGAAAAAGGAAAGTGAACACAAGATATGCAAAATCAGTAACGTTCAACCTGTCAGTGGATTGCAGACTAGTTACTTACACTAGGTACACTTTGTTCATTGTACAAATTAAAAAATGAAAAAAATATTTAGTACCCATTTCCCCAACCACACGTAGAAAAGCACTTAAAAGTTCAAAGGTAAAGCTTGGCACACTCCAAATACGAAATGATTTACTTTACATGCAGCAAAATATACAAGAAGTGATCTTTTAAAACAAACTTAATTCAATTCATTATATTCGCTTGGCACAATTGCAATTCATTTTAAAAAAATATTTGAAAAATACTGAAACTGACCTGAATTCAAGTATTACGGTTTCTTCAACAGAAACATTATCAATGCAATAAAACATCACACGGAATATATTGAAGCATAACTCCTTCTCACTTTTGTTTGTTTTTCCCCTTAATTTTGTTTCTATACAGTTTTAATGCCAACACAACTCACAATTGTATTTTAAAATTAATATTATTGCATTGTTTTTGCATATCTTGTGGAACAGAAAATGCAAAGAGTTACTGATTCCCCTTTCAAAAGCAGAGACAGTGGTTTGTTTTTGCATTCAAATGGCCCCAGATACAGATCTCCTGAAGGTAAAACCAGGAAGTGGAGAACTGTCTGCACTTATACACACATACACACACACGCTCACTCAGTGCCGCTCACACACTCACTCACAAAAATACCTAGCACTAAAAAGAATCCAAATCAATCACTCAAATGTGCAAGACTATATCAAGTGCATTGCCTACTATCTTTAAATTATAAAACAACAACAAAAAAAAGGAGATTTCAATTACTATCAAATTAAATTACAAATTCTTGGTGTACATAATGGTTGATAAAACTCTTCTATCATTATAGCTTCTACCGAATTTCAATGGAGAAAAAATAGTTTAAATAATACAATGTAACCAAACCAATTTAACATTTGCAAAGGTGAAGACAGAACAAAACAAAAAGGGTAGGTGGTTACAAAATTTTGTAAACACGCCTTTCTCCCCTCTCCCTCCAAAACAAAACAAAAAATATTCAAAATAAAAATTGGAACATGCTTTCAAGAAAATATCAAACTGCAAAAACAAAGAGAGATCTACATAAGCCCATCACCACCTCACTTAGAAAAGGGCAGGTTGCCTCAGCTCTGCTTGACAGAGCCTGCTACCTGCTCTCCCACTGGTTGGCACAGCTGGCTGTCTGAGCTCTGATTGGTTGGCAGACATGGCTACCTGAGCTCTGATTGGTTGGCAGAAGTGACTGCCTGAGCTCTGATTGGTTGGCAGAGACCACTGCCTGGGAGTCTCTGCATTTTCTGTCAACAAGCCTTCCTGCAGTGTTGCCATTTGCCTCTCATGTCCCCTAAGGCTTCTTCTGTTTCCTCCTCCCCAACAAGGTACTGGAATCCACAGCAGAAGAAGTCCATCATTCTATTCCAAATCAAAAGGGCCTTGGCTTTATGGAGACGGTGAGGCTCATACAGAATATGTGCAAAATGATTTTTACAAGCAACGTTGAAAGACACCCGTTTGATGCAGGGTCCTTTTGGCTAGGGCCATCCACAGGAAGCTGAGGTTCTCCTTTGCATTCAGGAAGCAGCCATTGTTCCTTGTGCAGCGACTGAGAACAAGCGGGAGCTGGCTCTCCTCCTCCACCTCTTCCTCCTCCTCATGGACACATGCTGGGGTTGTATTCGCTCCTGAAAAGCTCTCTTACACCACCCAACTCTGCGACTCGTCCCAACAGAAATGAATGAAGAACGCTGTTCCGGTTACTCCAGGTCACGAGAACAGTGAGGCACTTCTGAAACAAACCCATTAGGAACATTGAAACAAATAAAAAACCAGCATCGCTTCAGCCCTGGCAACTACAGGCTGCTGACATAAATCCTGCTGTCCTGGAGCTCCTCCTGACTTTTTCTACAATCCGGGTTCTGCACCTCTTCCTCTTCCTCTCCTGCACTGTCCTGCCCTGGGTCCCTGCAGTTAACAAAAGGCAAGAGGTTGCCATTGGGGCTTTGCTTGCTGTTACCATTGAGTATGTTGTCTGCTGCATTTTCCATCTCTTCTATTGTCATGTCACAGGCATCTGCTAGCTCTTGGGTTGTGACCTCAATGAACTTTGGATCTTGCGCAAACTGCATCAGTCCTTCTGAAATCAAGACCTTCAAAAGCAAGTGGGAAACCAGAGACAGAGCACAAAGATACAAATTAGCACTAGCATCATCAGTCCCGTCACCCTTCCATCCACCATCCCAGCTCCTGCCTGGCCATTCCCTTTTCCCAACCAAACCTCTCTCTCCTCCTACTCACGCCACCAAGCACTGATTGGAAATGGCTACCAAAGCCCAGCACTGCTGTCTGCACTACTAATACCTATCCTCTTACAGCAGCCCTAAAGATGACTCCTTTCTAGTTGCTGCTGCAGTCATTCCCATGCCGCTGTGGCTTTGTTGACTTACCGCTTCGACAAGGCTGCCAGCGCTGCCGTGGAACTGCCTGCTGCTCCCTCCAGTCTGGCTGGGGACGGTGAGGGAGACTGGCCTGGCTCTCCGAGGGCTGCTGCAGCTGGTGCTGTCAGAGTACCAGGAGCTGCAGTGTATTGATGGGAAGCTACTGTTGAGTTTCTCACTGGACTCCACTCCATCAAGCCGTAAAGTCGGGATGGTCTTCTGTGGCCAGCCACGGCTACAGGGCACGGCAGGGGGCGTGGCACACAACCGGGGGGAGAACGTTGTTGGGGAATGGCTTCTCTGGAGCAGGGGACTCAGCCCTGCCACTGCTAGTGCCTTCAGACAGAGAGAGAAAGAATGCAGTACTAGCCAGCTCTTAGAAGCATGAATGACTAGGCAGTGAGGAAAGACTACAAGGATGGCTTGAATGGGTTTATGCTAATTGGGAACTTGGATGGATTGACCTCCGTGTAATACAGCTGTGGGTAATAAAACACTGTTCTGTTTTCTGCTGATCCATTTTGTAAATATTACAAAGATTCCGTTAAAAATGGATTATTTTGTTCTGGTGAAATGTGCCGGGTCAAAAGCTCTAGAGACTGACATCCTCTGTCCATGGAACAGGTACAGCATAGCTAGCAGCAGTGCAAACGTCTCCCACATAACCCTGCCAGAGTACCTTCATTCCTGTTCCGGAGAGACCACCACTTCCGACGTAGGGTGACATGGTAGTTCATTTTCCACATCCTTTTAATCTTTGACCCCTCTTCTGATCTCACCACCACCATCATGTATTGCTAATTGTGGTGATGTGTTTTGGTGATATCTACTCCAGAAACTGAACTGAGACTATCAACTCATTTCATTTAGGTCTCCAGTGACACTAAGCCATGTCCGTACTTACAAGCTTACAGCGGCACAGCTGTACCGATAGAGCCGTGCCACTGTAAGAGCGCTTGTGTGGCCAACAGGAGAGAGCTCTCTCGTAATAAAACCAGCTCAACAGCGGTAGCTATGTTGGCGGGAGAGCGTCTCCCATCGTCATAGCACTGTGCACATGAGTGCTTATGCCGGCAAAACTTATGTTGCTTGGGATGGTGTGGGGTGTGTTTTTTCACACTTCTGAGCAGCAAAAGTTTTGCTGACATAAGTGCTAGTTTAGACATAGCCTTAGTTGGTAATAAATTTCAGTTAAAACCAACCTGCTTTGGATTTTATGTAGTGATCTATTAGTGAAAAGATCAATATCCATTACTAGTCCCCTGAGCCACCCAGTCCCTCAAAAGAATTTAAATACATAATTCATGAGTCATGTAGTACCTTTTAACTAAGTAAGTGATTCAAAGAAATCCCTTTTTCCATAGGGCCAGAGTTTGATAATGGTACAATGATAAAACATAGTAGTCAAGAAAACCAAGCAATGGTAGGTAAATAGCATAATGGCTAACAGGGGTCAGGATGGAGACTCTTGCCTATATGCTCGGGGTCTTACTGATCGCCATATTTGGGGTCGGGAAGGAATTTTCCTCCAGGGCAGATTGGCTGAGCCTCTGGAGGTTTTTCGCCTTCCTCCGCAGCATGGGGCAGGGATCTCTAGCAGGAGGGTCTCTGCCGATTGAAGTCACTATAACAGGATTGGGGACTTCAGCAGCAGAGTCCAGGGAAGGGGTGGGGACGGTTTTATGGCCTGCAGCATGCAGGGGGTCAGACCAGATGATCATAATGGTCCCTTCTGACCTTAAAGTCTATGAGTCTATGAGTCTATGATACTTTTACTCACCTTGAATGGTACCTTATTCCACAAGTCAATAGAGCAACTCATAGAGTAAGGTACTACTCAGTGTGAGCAAGGGAATCAGAAGCCAACCCATAGAAAATAAAAAGTTGTGATTTTGTACTATCTGTAAGCAGAAAGTTCCCTCATTAACTTTCCAGACCTCCTCCCATTGAAATCAATGGCAACTGACTTTAACACAAACAGGAATGGTTTCTAAATATGCTATGCTGATGATTTCACACAAAGAAATGGGATAACAGAAGAGTCTTCTATTAGTGCCATGGGTCAGTTACCCAAACATTTTTCATAAAGGGGGAGATTTTTAAAGGCACGGAAGGCAGATAATTGCCCAGCTCCTATTAATTCTCAGTATAAAATGGGCACCTAACTGGCCTTTGGGTCTTTTGAATATCTCCCCTAAAGGCCTGATGCTGCAATCTCTGCTCTCATAAGCAGCTCCATTTAATTGAACAGGCTGCAGGATGGGTCCTAGATTGGTTAGAAGCACAACTAGGGTGACCAGATGGGATGAAGAAAATATCGGGACACATGGTGGGGAGGTCCCTGCCAACAGAGAAAAAAAAAAAGCGGAGTCCCGGAGTCCCGCCGGCAGAGGGGGAGGAAAAAAAAACAAAAGCGGGGTCCTGCCGGTGGAACAAAACAAAACAAAACAAACAAAAAACAGGAGTGTGAAATATTGGGACAAATTGCGTTCCGACCAAACATCGGTCGGGACACGGGACAAATGCCTACAAATCAGGACAGTCCTGATTTTACTGGGATGTCTGGTCACCCTAAGCACAACTGAACTGATTCTTCAGCCTGTTGTAGAAATATAATACAAGCTGTGTTTCCAACCAGTACAATACTGACAATGTTCCAGGAGTGTTTGAAGGATCACAGCAAGTTATATATGTGTATATCCTTCATATATCAATATGTGTGAGCCTTTCCTATGAATAACTCTTCAAGTATTCACAATGAGAAGACACCCTACAGTGTTTAATATCTAATGGGAAATTAACAGATTGTTTACAATGGACAGTGCAAATCTTAATTTCACCCACTGAAAGGAAGCAGCAATCAATATTACCAAACCCAGAAGACCATAATTCTGATAGTGGAGTTTTCTTGTAGCATTAACATCTTTTACACTAGAGGGAATGTTGATGGGGTGGAATACTGGATGGTTTTTCTGTCGCAGCACCATGAGTTCCTGATAGTCAAAGAAATGAAGGACATGCTTCCCCAGTACAGTCTTCCACAAGGCCTTCTTGCATTGAACTGTTGACCTGTGTACTGGACTCAGTGAATCAGACTGAACGCTCCTTGAAGCAGGGACCTTACCCTCTTATGTGCTTTTTAAGAATCACATATACTAATACTACTCTACAGATAATAAGAGCACCCCAGAAATGTTCAATCAACCAACAGGAACATCAAGTGTCCCAAGGCTGTTAGTGCCATATGAAAACTGTTTCTGCAATAGCTTTTATATTATAGTGTCAGACCGAGAAAGACAGTTTAGTATCAAACAAAGGACAGGAGTTCACTTCTGACTTGACAGCGGATTAATCATCTAGATATGTCCAAATAGAAAGCACTAAGTTGATGTATGTCTCTGTCAGGATTTGTAAGAAACTGACTAGTTACATGTAATCAGTTTACTTTTTAAAAATGATTAGCGTAACTGATTATTTTTGTACTGAAGTGGAGGTAGTCCCTCTCCATTTACTCATCAGAGTCTATAGAGTTACAGTAGGGATGGATTTGGCTAACTATTTGTACCGTGAGATGTTAGCTAGGTTTTTGTTTTTTTCCCCTTCATGTATGTCAGGTACTGATTGATGTTGCCAACTTTGAAAGGCACGTTCCTGCAGCTTTATTCTGGGAGTTATGAAAATCCTGAAACCAGGAGCTGACAGGAGCACAAAAACAATTTCTAACAACAGCATCTTTGATATTGGTTTCTAATGGTTTCAGAGAGGTCACCTAGTGGTGCCATTGGTAAGCACTGCAAATGTTAAATGTTCAGCTGGGTTGGTTGGCTGCTGCTTAGTAATTAAATCTTACCTGATGGTGTACCAGATGCAATGGCAGAACTGTCTTCTGGGAGACATCTACACCTTGGTTCTTCTGTCTCTTCAGACACTCCAAGTGAAAAGATGCTCTTCGACCTGCAATGCCAATGGCACAGAACTGTGATCATCATTCACACCATATTACAGAGACTCTCTGACTTGAGCTTGGCATCAGTGTAATACCTCTGGGGGTGTAGAGGAAAAATTCCCATTATAGGCCCTGTCCACTTTACCTTGATACCTTGTACCTTGCTAGAACAACTGTATTTGAAAAAGTTTGTCAAGGATCATAAAGTCTGACCAACAGCTGTGTTCCAAGACAGCTGAAAACTAGCACATATTCTGGACAGGGATTATTTTTTTTTAACAATAGTGCTAGTAGATACTGTGTTACTGATGATCCTCCTAGGTATGCTAGAAGATTTCTGAACAGTGTGGCAAAATGAGTTGTAACGGTGTTAGATGAGGAAATGAACCATGTTACAACAATGTAAGGATTCACTGATGTGAGGGGGCTAGTACTTCTGTGAAACTGCATGGTCAAAGGACCGCACTTGACTTTAGTCTGCAAATCCTAACACTTGAAAAGTTTCAGTTACAATTAAAGCAGAGACCAGATTCTCGGTGTATTTGCTTGTACTGAAATTCATCATTTTTCTTTTGCAAGAGAAGAAAGAAGAACATTTTCTTTCTCCCTGTTCAATATTTAAAGAAAAGACTACTACATACTAATTCACTTTATCGGCTGGCTCTATGAGGAGCTTCTTTTGGGCCCACAGGGCTCTGATAAGTTCCCCTAGTTCACATGCAGACTTAACCAACCAGTTCACATAGATGCATGCCACCCCGAGAACCACAGATTTAACACAGACTGAGCAGTATATAAGCAACGGAGAGGCCTGCTGGTAAGACGTGCATTGTCAAGATCTTATCCTGCACTCTGTGACTCATGTTCTTCCTGGGAAGCAAAGTGCACATCAAAACCTGAGGCCACACATGACAGGATTCTCCAGCAAGATGTGAGAAATCCGTCAAGGCATCAGAAAGCACAGCTTGTACATCCTGCTGGAATATTACCCAGTGACGAGGAGCGAAGAAACCCCCTCTTTGGAGACTGCCTTGACCCCTCGCCTTTGTTGTTTTCAGGTGGAGTCAGTTGTCTGTTTTCATCATCTTGGTATGAGAGCCTGGAATGAAAAACAGAGAGTTTGGAACCATCACTTGAGCAGGATATCATGCTGGATCGGATACCCCTTCTACTAGGGAAAGGCTGCACTATTTGGAAGGAGACGAGGAAGAGGAAGAACACTCTATTCACGAAGAAGGGATGTAGCTAACTTGTTAGTTTGCCAGATCTAAATGCTCCAGAGACAGCATCCAAGACTGGGACAGAGAAAGCTCTGGTGATGAAATCAGTGAATGTTAGACATTAGAAATGGATGGTGAAGGGGCCTGGAGGTAGCACTGCCACTGGTACCACTGGGAGGAAAGGGACTTCAAAAAGTCATAGAAAAAATTCCTTTCCCAATACTATTTGCCTGGGTTTAAGCACATTTTTTCATCTTTTGATATCTGGATTGGCGCAGTGTTCCATCTGCAAACCTGTTTCTTCTTACTAGCCTTCCCTTAGTTCCATTCCCTAGGCTGAACTGATGAAGGGTCTTTAAAGAAAGATATCACACAACCCCCCAACCAGAAAACCCCAAACAGCTTGGCCACTCTATTGCAAAGCTCACATTTCAGTAGAGATCAGACTTGGTTCGCTACAGTACTCTACGTCTTCATTCAAATTCTCATCGTAAGTCTCATCCTGAGATACTTCCTCTTGGCAAACGATTGCCAGCTGGCTGTCTCTGGAACTGGAGCTAATGAGCAAAAAAGGCAAGTCAAAATTTGGAGATGGTAAAGAAAAGCTGCTATCGAGACAAAATGACAGGGCTCCATCTGTCTGCGCTTATTGTTATGGGCAGTGCCGAGCCATCACACAAAAATCAATGATCAAAGACAGAAGCACAATTCATAAATACAAGTGACCCTTTGTTTTGTCCCCACTTAGTTGGAGCTCCTTAATCAAAGCATCAAGAGTCAGTAGTGATGTACATACTATGAATGCAATTGATCATGCCTGCACTGAATAAGCATTCAGGGCACTGACTAAATTACTAAAGTTCTGTCCCCTGGGGCTCAGTATAAAACCTGAGATGGATTCCCTGAGGGAGAGAGGGGTGGATTTTCTTCTATGGTGGCAAAAAGTGCCGGTAAGGAATTTCAGAAGGGTGCCTCCTTGACATTATACCACCCCTCTCAGCTGTGAGGCTTATGGTCTCTTTTTCCTGTCTTCCACTTTCTGTGCCATTTCTCTCCCTCTGCTCTCTTTCATCTTCTCTCTCCCCTTGTCTTTCCCATCCTTGATCCTTATATTCCAATAATAGAATATGAGTAATTTCAATTGAGTTCAATGGGTGCTATTCAAATTCTGTGGTGGGTGGAGCACCTTGAATTCCATCTCTACCTCCTCCTCCCTCCATTTCCGGTGCTGGGCTTCCTGGTATTAGGCTGCAGTTTGATTGTGCAAGCAGCTGAAGAGAACCTGGATCTCTGACATGCCAGCATGGAGAGCTTCAGAAATCTGAAACTTTCACTCTGTTACCTGTGCTGTCAGCAGGGAGCAGTGTGGCAGAGAAGCACCATGTGGGAATAGGAGAAGTGAAGAAACATGGTTGTTTGGTCATTGGTTCACGCCATTTGGTGGAGTGGAGGGAAATGAATATACGTATGGTGCTTTGGGTCAGTTGAAAAAAAAATCCAAGGAAGAGTGTCTGAGTGATCAGACGGGATGACTGGCAATCATAGCTGTATGGGTGAAGAAAAGGTCCTGTATAACAGTGTCATTCCCTCATCAGCCCACATGGCAAAGCTCTAGCCAAACCCTACACTATTTTGGTAAGAACAGGATAAAACAGACTTCACTCTGCAATGATCAGAGAATGACGGGGGTCAGGTCTGAGATCATGTGGAGATTGAGGTGAAAATTCCACATGAGTCCACCAGGTAATCCAGCTACCAGAGTCCATACAATTGTCTGCATTATGGCTAGAGGAACCTAGTTGGTGAATGTCTCCTGAAGACACCATACTACTATTACAGTAGAACCTCAGAATTACGAACACCAGAGTTACAAACTGACCAGACAACCACACACCTCATTTAGAACCAAAAATACATAATCAGGCAGCAGCAGAGACACACACACACACAAAGCAAACACAGTACAATTCTGTGTTAAACGTAAATTACTAAAAAAATAAAGGGAAAGCAGTATTCTTCTTCTGCATAGTAAAGGTTCAAAGCTGCATTAAGTTAATGTTCAGTTGTAAACTTTTAAAGAACCATAAAGTTTTGTTCAGAGTTACGAACTTAGGAAGGGCTTAAGTGAAACAATAATGGGGACTTGGACATTAATTTCAACAGGAGCAACTCCGGAGAACATTACAGCATGAGAGGAAACACCTACCGTCCCAATGTTTCATAGTAATGTGTCCTAGTTCACCAAGGAAGCAAGGGGGAAAAAGAAGACTATGTCAGGAATGTAACATAAACACAAGTAAGAAGGAGGAGAAGTATGGAAACAAATAGCTGTGAAATTCCTATAGTTTCCAAAAGGAAGGCTGGGAAATGGAAAAGCGATTGGATTCTTTATTCAAACAAACTCACACACCTCTGGCATCCTCGTCCTGTTAGTCTCTTCTCTTCTTCTCTAGAACAATTATTTCTCAACCTTTTCAGGCTGGTAACCCTTTATTTGAAGTCAGAAATATTCATGACCCCTTTACATTTATTATAACCAAGTAAAACATGTATGAATGATAACAGCGATAAGCCTATGATATAATTCATTCGTGTGCGTTTTGACAGGTTAACAGTGAATATCTGACTTTGAAGGGTAAGGCTGTATGGAGAGATTGGGAGTGAAAGTCCCTTTGCTTTAGATTATAATACATTTTTGAATGCCTTGCATCCCTCCAGATTGCATTTTATGAGCTTCCTGGGAGTTGTCACCTGCTGATTGAGAAATACTGGTCTAGAGTCTCTCTTCTAGTATTTGCAAGTATGAATTCATTTCCCCATTCTTTCTCTATTTAATTTGCCTTAGGTAAAACACCTCCCTACAGCCTAGGATGCAGCTCCCTTCAGATACCAATTTTATAGCCTGGGAGATGGAGGGTGTTGAGCAATGGTGGTGCTAAGCAGTGCTTCTTTCCAGAGGCTGCGTGTGGTGCTTCTGCAGCATTGCTGGTCTAGGCAGCAAGTGATGAGCCTGAGAGCTCACCTCAAATCCCATGCACGACAGCACCTTGTCCCGCCTCTAGACTGTCGGAGCATGACTTTCACTAGGCAATATCATTTTTTAAAAAATTGTACATATGTGTTGGTTTCATTAGCCCATTGCTTCTTTGGAGCTTACCTTTTGGAAGTGAGTTTCCAAGGGGCTTCCTGCACTCGTATGGTGGGTGACAAGGGTGTGCCATGCCCCTCCACTGTGCTGACAGTACTTGGGTAGCTGGGTGGGCTGTGGAAGCGGGACAAGGCAGTATTGTTGGCATTGTTGATGTTGGCGTTGGAGCCCGAAGACGAGTAGCTGCTGGGAGTGAAGGTGGAATCCACTAGCTTCTCGTGTGATGGGGACTCCGTATCTCCCTGGTTGTTGCCAGATTTATTGATGTGCAAAGGGCGCTGGGTGGTGAATGTCTGGGGGAATGAGCTCCTGCCATCACTTTGGTAGTAGCTGACATGGTTTCCGAACAGACCACCAGCCCTCTGTCAGCAAAACAGAAAACATTTTCTCTTGGTGAGTGAGAATAGGTGCAAATGAGGACAATTCTCCAGACCTGGTGTTTGTCACTGCACCTCAAAGCAATGTTTGGAGAAAGAAAATTTGGGGACCAATTTGGTAATGTGATATGGCCCGTTACAAGCAGAATGTCTCCCTACCAGGAAATAATCCTAGAATATGGATATCTCTGTCAGAGGGGCTGTGATGGGGTCCATTGTAAATGAGCTCTAATGTAGTGCTCTGATAGATGACAAGAGCCAGCTCCAGAATACAGAGGGCTCTACAAGTGGTGAAGAGCCATCTTTGCACCTCCCCTCCATTCCTGTGTTGAGTGGAGTTTGGGTGGATTGGAGAATCTGGGCTATTGTGTTCAATTCTGCGTACCACGGTACCAGAAAGAGATCCACTTACTAGAAGGAATTCAGAGAACAGCAACGAAAATGATTAGCCAGCAAGAGGGACTAGTGAGGAAAGGTTTAAAGACGTAGAACTCTGTTACGTAGAGCTTGACTAAGCCATAATGAAGGGGAGAGAGAGTAACTTTCTGTAAGTATTTGAAGGGTAGAGGCACCAAGGAGAGAGAGGGAATGTTGAGGGTTGCCCAAAGGCATAACTAAGAAAAAGAAAATTTAGCCTGATTGTTCAGAAAAAATTCTCCATTGTGAGATGTATGAGGGGGTGTGACCGTCTCCCAGGGACGTGCTGGAAGACCCATTGCTTGGGTCACTTAAAAGTGGACTAAACAAAACACTAGAGAATGTAGTGGATCAATAATGCATAGGATGGAGCATGGAGGTGATGACCTGATTCATTTTTTCAATTTCTGTGGGTCAAACCCTGACATTCTCACTCAGACTGTATTCAGTCTTTACTCAGGCAAAACTCCACTGAGGAAAAATGGAGTGAACACTACATGAGGCCCTCAGGATTTGGCCATCTGATTCTATTTGACATATAGCTTTATATTTTCCATTTCTGTTCTCTATAATACAGCCTGGGAAACTGAGAGAGAGAAACTGAAATGTACCATATAGCATTGCCCAATCTAATGTATTGGACTCAGCACGTAGCCTCATTCAAGAGGAAAAGAAGGATTTCAGCAGTAGCACCTACCCTGAAGATATCATCTTCAGAGGCAGCGGAAACAGCTTCTTTCATGGCCTTGTCTAGCTCCTCTTCGGCTGTCAGGTCTCCGGAGATCGCCCGTCGGATCTCTGGCCCAATGTCATGCAATGTGCGCAACCCAGCCTGGAAAACAGTACCATGTAACACTCTGTTTCCATGTAGTTAGGTAAGCAATAAAAACAGTATCATTGTACACTGGACATCATCTGCTACCCAGCATTTTATGAACATAGATTAATTTAACCTCACCACTGCCCTGTGAGGTCAGCAGGTACTGTTACCCCATTCCCCTTTTAGAGGTGGCGAGACCAACTCACAAAGAGGGTAAGTTGCTAAAGGCTGCATAGCAAATTTCTGGCAGAATTAGCAATAGGACCAAAGACTCTTCATTACCAGGTGCTTGTTTTAACAAGTACTGCACATGTGCATAAACATACAAGCCCAAATGAGCAAGTGCTTTAGAGTTTGGTTCCTAAATCCGTATTTGGGCACACAAATAAAAGAGCTGAGCACCTACAGTTCCAGCTGAAGTCAACGGGAGCTCAGCACCTTTCAGGCCAATTTTATTCAGGTACTTAAATATGGAGTAGAGAGCTGAATTTTTGGCACCCAGGTTTGGAAATTTTAGCCAGAAACTATACCCAGCATTTACCAGACCTCATTAATTGGAATGTGTCTCAATTAGTGTTGTTCTAGGAAACAGTAAAGCTGTCCTATGCTGATGCTGTGTATATATCAGGCTATTTCTCACATGGCACATTGTTTGCTTGGAGTCCAGTGTTATCTCTCTTTCTTACTGTAATAGTTTCAGAAGTGTATAGAGCTGGGAATTGCTCTGAGTTCTGTAGCTGTAATAAACGCAAAATTCTTTTTTCAGAAATGCAATGGAAGCCTCTGACACGCAATCTAGCAATCCACACGGCGAATCAGTGGCAGAACTGAGACTAGATCCCAGGACTCCTAGTCCCATGCCCTATCCGCTGGACTATGATGCCTCTTGAATCCAGGCATCTGCCTCGTTTTTTTTTAACTGCCAGACACCTTCCCTGACCTATCCATAATGACTCCCTCCTCAGAAGGGTTTAGGATGAAACATGACAACAGTAACGATCTTACATTTATTTAGTACCAGCTATCCAAATGGAAACCAAACGGAACTAACTATCCAAATGGAAAGCACTTCCCAAACATTACCAATGGATTTATCAACTATGAACATAATTCACCCCAGCATCCCGCCAACATAAGGAAGGGTGCATGGCCTTTGATAGATGAACGTCTATCTGGAGAGATTGATATGGCAGATCAAGGTGCCTCCAATGTTCCCTCTACTGAGGGGCCTGTCTGTTGCTCAGGACAGTTCCCAAAGTGCGTGGCACTTGTTGGGAAGGAGGCATGGCCAAGTGTCCTTGACTGTAACAAGGTTAAGGAAGTCTACAAACTTATTAAACCTCCAGCTCTATGTCCTTGTTTCATTCCTGTGGCACCCAGGCCCATATCTGCCCATCACTCACCTGCAAGGAGAGAGCATTCCGCTGTGAGAGTTTGCCCACGAGGCCTTGTTCTTTACGTTTCTTGAATTTCCGGAAATACTCTTGGATCAGGAAAGTGGCATAAAACTTCCCGACTGTCACCTCATCGTCTGCATGGGGGATATTTCCAAAAGCAAACAAGCAGCTGATTGTAAACAGTGAATTCACCAATGTAAGCTGCAGAGCTTTGCCATTTACAGAAGAAATCCCAGGAAGCAAAGAGAGGCAAAGGCATTTGTTTTCAGGGTAGAAGTACAGCAGGCTAGAGGGCGCATTTACTCCAGAGCCATAGCTGTTCGCAGAGGCTCTGTGGGGGTCAGAGATGGCTTACATCTACGGGCATAGGTTAGCTATCCTGGTATAAAATGCCTATAACTGATGGGTACATTTACTATAAAGACATGGCTCCTGACCATTTCAGTCACTTGTACCAATTTCCCAGATAAAACCTCAGTGTACCTGCAACAGTGTACCTGTTGTGAGTTAGTACCTGCTTCAAACCAAGGGACAAGTCCTGCAGTCCTTGCTCTCCCTTTACTCAGCCAAAACTCTCATTGACGTCAATGGGTCAAATCTTAACTCAATTTTTATTTAGGCAAAACCCACCTGGAGTCAATGGAAGTTTTGTGGGGCATTGATTTCCGTGAGGACAAGGGCTGAGCAAAGATTTCAGGATCTGACCTTAAATACAGACGATCCCCAAAGTGCGATTCTGAGTGACAGCCTGAATGGGGGGTCAGCAATAATGCAGCGCGGCAGTGGGAAGGCTCACCAGCCCAGCATGAAGGCTCATTATTGAGGTACAAGAGGGGAGACCAGACGCCCAGTGCCTGGAAACCACAAGTGTCAATCATGCTCCTGCCGAGGATGAGCTGTCAGGAGATGGATGGGCCAGAAGAGAGGAGGGTCATTGTTCTGATGCTGTGAGAGGGTCAGGAGTTGGGGGAGGATGGGCTAAGAGGAGGGGTCAAGCAAGAGGGTAAAGAGGGATGGATAAAGGGGTTGTGGGAAAGAGAAAAGTGGGACAGAGGGTGAGAGGGGAGAGTGAGACAGAAAGTAGGTAGCAGAAAAGGAGGGCAGGGAGGGGGAGGGGGACAGAAAGCATGCCTCAGATAAAATCCCGGTGCATACTCCCAAATCTACCTCAATAACATTCTGGGCCAGATGTGGATCTATGCCAATTTACACCAGCTGAGAATCTGGCCCACTGTGTCCATATGGATCTGACAGGAGGACAAGCTGAAAGCACAGGCCTACCCTGTTTCCCCGAAAATAAGACAGTGTCTTATATTAATTTTTGCTCCCAAAGATGCGCTAGGTCTTATTTTCAGGGGATGTCTTATTTTTCAGAAATGAAAAATGCCTTATTATCGGTGGATGCCTTATTATCGGGGAGGTCTTATTATCGGGGGGATGCCTTATATTACAACGAGAGGCAAAACTGTAAGTAGGCCTTATTTTCGGAGGATGTCTTATTTTCGGGGAAACAGGGTAGGAACCCAGGAGAAGAGGCCATAGCCTTCGCTCAAGGTTGAAGGTTTATTTCTGACATGCTGATAAAAGTGATGTTACTCTGCTCTCCTATGCCCTGCCTACAGCTACTAAATGTTTATTGCTTCTTCTCGCCCTGGCAGCAAATAGTCACTGACAAGGCAAATAAATAGAACACCCTGTACCAGGGATCACGTTAGAGTTATGCAATACTGATAAGCATCTAGCCCTCCAGAGAAAGGCCATGCGTAATGCAAGGCAAAATCCTGTTGTCCCTGGCTCAATGGCAGCGTGTAGAGAACTGTAAACATCACCCCATTTAGATCTGGTGTATGCATCTGAGAATATTGTTTTCTCTCCCACCCTGACATCTCCACCGCCTCCCAAAAGTTGCCCATTGAGAGGGTTACACATTCATTGATACAAGCATGATCAGCACTCAACCAGCTGTAATGTCCAGTCTGACAGATACCATCGTGTAGAGGAAAGCATGCCTCCCATATCCCATCCAGGACCACAAAAGTGAGAGGATTATGGAAAGACAAACAGCAGGTAGAGAAAGGGGTGACAAGACAGACAGACAAGGAAAGGCTAGTTTGCTCACCGCCTGCCGGGGGCACAACCTGATCCAGCAGCTTCATGCTGGTGCGCTTCCAGATTTTCTTAATGATCGCTCGCAGCTCCTCATTGGCTTGCTCCAGGTTACCTGCCAGGGGAATCAGTGAACAGAGGAATTAAGCCAGCTCCAGCAGAGGAGAACATTTCACACGTATACTCCTGCATCCCAAAAGGAAAAGAGTGGCTCAAAAGTCTGCCGAATGCACTCTCTTACAGCAGGAGAATGCTTCAAGAGCAGCAGAGGGCCATTGGATGTGGGCAATGGGATTGTCTGACCATGGCTTACTCCCTCGTGCTCACAGCAGACAGTCTAATTCCTAAACGTGTAGAGACTCAGGAGCTGCTCACACCTCCCTGTGGAGAGATGGAAAGGTGGGAGCGCACATTCTGATTCTGGGTGTGGTCGGACGTCTGCTCTGGATGGGCATTGCCTGGGGCAGCCTGGCCGAGAGAGACAGAAAACTGTAGGACCATTTTATGCTATAAATGACCACATGCGTGATCAGATACAGCACTTCCCGCCTTTCCGGAGGTCCAGTGAAGGCCGAGCAGTGACAGCAGAGGGCCTGTGGAGGGGAACTACTTCCGAAGGAAGAACCATTTTGTAGTAACAGCACAGCTGGGAGTCAGGAGACCTGGATTCTACTCCCAGCTCTTCCCTGCTCTGTGCCACAATTTCCCCATCTGCAAAGCATACGTACTACCACCTCACAGGGAAGTTGAGAGTCTGAAGTTGGTGGTGCGTGAAGTGCTACGGGGAAGGCACTAGAGACATGCAAAGCATTCTGACAAACTAGCACAAAGGCTATTTTAAAGGTATTCTTGCTTATTTTACGAGGAAGGGCTTTGAGAGCTTAATAGGCTCCACCTGCGAGGTATATAAACATGGTACAAAAATACTTGAGGGGACCATACCAGGGACTAGGATATTGCATATTGCATCCAAGGAACTCTACCCCCTTAACAAACATTACTGAATCAAGCAACACAACACCTGTGGGACTGAGTAAATATTAGTATCTCCATTGTCTGTGATCCCCTTCCAACTGCCTCTCTCTTCTCAAGCTGCTCACCTTACAGCCCCTTTGGTTTATTTTTCTGACTCTCATGTATGCCCCTTCTTCCATGCAGTCCTTTATGCATGGAATTCCCTTCCTTCTCCTGGTGGATCAAACTATCACCCTCTCCTCCCCAAGTGCACTTTCCTCATGGAGTCTATCATTGTTACCCTGGGGCTAGGTCTATACTACCCACCTGAATCGGCGGGTAGAAATCGACCTCTCGGGGATTGATTTATCGCGTCCCGTTGGGACGCGACAATCAATCCCCGAATCGGCGCTCTAACTCCACCAGCGGAGGTGGTAGTAAGCGCCGCCGACAAAAAGCCCCAGAAGTCGATTTTGCCGCCGTCCTCACAACGGGGTAAGTCCGCTGCGATACGTCGAATTCAGCTACGCTATTCACGTAGCTGAATTTGCGTATCTTAAATCGACTCCCCCCTGTAGTGTAGATGTACCCTAAGTGAACTCCCAGGCTCTTACAACCAAATCAATATTGCCTTCTGCATAGGGTGACCAGATAGCAACTGGGAAAAAACAGGACAGGGGGTGGGGAGTAATAGGCGCCTATATAAGAAAAAGTCCCAAAAAACGGGACTGTCCCTTTAAAAATGGGACAGCTGGTCACCCTACTTCTGAACCCCTTTCAGGTTCCACCCCATCTAGTGCTTTCCATGCCCCAATGTTCTGTCAGACTAATGAGGGGCCCAGTTTTGTAAGCCTCCTGTGGACTTACAGTAAGAGTCCCCTCCACCTCCTGACACAGTGAGCTTGCAGAACTGGACCTAAGACTGGAAGCTCCTATGGGAACTCCATCCTCCCCAATGTTCTGCACAGCACTGTGCACACCAGCAGTTCTTAATGAATGATAACGTTAAGTGACTTGCTCAGGATTACACACCAAGTCAGTGTCAAAGTCAGGAATTAGAACTCATGCGTTCTGATTCCCAGTCTCCTGTTTTAACCATGAAGACGACACTTACATGGTTTGAAGCTAAGGCCACGTCTACACCACAAACTTTGGTCCACGCAAGTTACATCGGCATAAAACTACCGCAGTTAGTATATTTCTTGTGCACGTATGTATACTTGCCTCCCTGCGTCAGCGCTGCGCATACTCACCAGCAGTGCTTGTATTGATGCACAGTGTGGTGCACCATCGATAGGTATCCCAGTGTGCAACCCGCTACCATCCAGCGCCCATTATCTTTTGGGAAGTTTTGGCAAGTATGGTGGAGCCAAAACAAGTCGCCCAGCGGTGACTGGGGCAAGAGGTCAACTTCCCAGTTTTCAATGGTCTCCATCCCATATTGTCATCTATAGCCCATATTTTTTGCACTTTTTAAAATATCCCACAAACCCACGCTGCCATCCTCGTTCTCCACCATCTCTGACAGAAGCACGGAGTCTGCACAGCTTTGCACTATTGTCATAAGCGTTGCACGCACAGGACGCACGATCCTCTGGTAATCGTAGAGCCGTAAGAAGACCCAAATCAGCGGGAAACATGATGATTTCATGGAGGACAGACTGCTGTGGAACATAGTGAGAACCAATGCCAGGTTGTTGATGGTATTCATGGAGCATCTGCAGACAGTGGAGTGCCACTTCTGGGCCCGAGAAATGAGCATCGACTGATGGGATCGCATCATAACGCAAGAATGGGACCATGAGCAGCAGCTGCAGAATGCCCAAGGCCACATTCCTCGATCTGCATGCTGAGCTTGCCCCAGCCCTCCAGTGCAGGGACGCCAGAATGAGACTGCACGGACAGCGGAGAAGTGAGTGGTGCTTGCACTGTGGAAACGTCAGTGGGAAACAATTTTGGAACAGGAAAATCCACTGTGGAGGCTACGGTCGTACAACTGTGCAGGGCCATCAATCGTCTCTTACTATGCAGAACTTTGATGCTCAGCAATGTGCAGGCCACAGTGGATGGATTTGCAACAATGGGATACCCAAATTGTGATGAGGCAATAACTGGCACAAATATCTCTATTTTGGCCCCATCACACCTTGCCACAGAGTGCGTCAACAAAAAGGGCAACTTTTCTATGGTTATGCAAGTGTTGGTGGCTCACTGGGGACACTTCACTGATATCAGCGTTGGCTGGTCAGGTTAGGTGCATGATGCTCACATCTTTAAATAAACAGAGGACTGTTCAGAGAGTGGCAAGCAGGGACTTTCTTTCCTGAACAGAGGATTACCACTGGGGATGATGAGATGGTAAGAATGGTCCTGGAGGACCCAGCCTACCCCTTGCTCCCAATGCCGTATACCGGCCACCTCGACAGCACCAAGGAAAGATTCAACTACCGGCTCACCAGGTACAGAATGACAGTTGAATGTGCTTTTGGTAGAGCGAAGGGAGACTGGCATAGTTTACTGACAAGACAGGAGCTCAGTGAAAAAAAATGATTATAGCCACCTGCTGGGTCCTGCATAATGTCTGTGAGGCAAAGGGCACAAAGCTGCCGCTAGGGTGGGTGCCAGAGGTGGAGTGGCTCTCTGCTGAGTTTGAACAGCCAGACATAAGGGCTATTAGAAAAGCTCAACATGGAGCTATCCAGCTCAGGGAGACTTTGAAAGAGCACTTTTACAGCAAGCCGCAGTAATGTGCTGTGGTGATCTGTGCTCTGCCTGGCCCTGCAGTTTTGAGGCCTGCTAGGAATTATGTGAGGTTGGGGTACATCTATGACTATAACACTGTCAATGCACCTATTCATTTTGTGTTGCTTGTGGTACATTGATAATTATTACACTGTGCTTGTCACTGGACCTCTGAGTTGTGTCACACTGTACAATAACAAGTAAGAGAAGGTTACTCACCTGTGCAGTAACTGACGTTCTTCAAGATGAGTGTCCCTGTGGGTGCTCCACTCCAGGTGTTGGTGCACCCCTGCGCCTTCGCTTGGAGATTTTTACAGTAGTACTCACACGGGCCGCGCACACACGGTGCCTCCCTCACGCGCCAAATGTGCCTCAATAATGTGCACGCGGGTGGCCCGGGCTCTTCAGTTCCTTCTCTATAATGGAGACAGCTCCAAACTCCGAAGTAGAGGGGAGGAGGGTGGGTAGTGGAGCACCCACAGGAACACTCATCTCAAAGAACATCAGTTACTGCACAGGTGAGTAACCTCCTCTTCTTCGAGAGATGTCCCTGTGGTGCTCCACTCCAGATGACTGAAAAGCAGCATTTCTTAAGGAGATAGGGACTTCGGATCTGGTAAGAAAGCTGTAGACAGCACAGTTCAGCCCATTTGAATGTCGGTCAGGGGTCCCAGAGTAAGAACACAATGTTTAGCAAAGGTATGCTCTGAAGCCCAGGTGGCGGCTTTGCAAATATCTGTGAGGGGAATGTTACGTATGCCATAGACGTTGACATAGATCTGATGAAGTGTGCTCTAACAGAAGTTGGAAGATTCATCTTCTTTAGTTGGTAGCATAGGTGGATGCAGTCTGCTATCCAATTGGATATTCTCTGGGTAGAGATGGATTTGCCTCTTGATCATTCTGCGATTGAAATGAAAAGTTTAGGGGAAGCCCTAAAGGGCTTAGTCCTATCCAGATAAAAGGACAATGCTCTGCACACATCGAGTGTGTGCATTGCTGATTTCAAAGTGTTGGCATGTGGTTTAGGAAAGAAAATTGATAGATGGATAGGTTCATTGAGGTGGAAGGAGGAATGCACCTTTGGGAGAAATTTAGGATGTGTTCTGAGTGTGACTTTGTCTTTAAAAAATATAATGTACGGTTCAGCCATAAGTGCTCCAAGTTCTCCTACATGTCTGACAGATGTAATGGCAACTAAAAATGCAGTTTTCATGGATAGATGTAGGAGAGAGCATGTTGCAAGTGGCTCAAATGGATGGTGCATCAACCATGTGAGGACCAAGTGTAGGTCCCAGGGTTGAGTGGGTGGTCTAATGTCTGGGTATAGGGTCTGGAGGCCCTTGAGGAACCACTTTGTGATGGGGGGGGGGCGAAGATAGAAGTGTCTCTGGTCTTATTGTGAAACTCTATAATTGCTGCTCGATGTACCTTTATGGAGCTAAAAGAAAGCCCAGATAGCTTAAGTTCTAAAAGATAGTCTAGTATTAGTCTAGTGAAAGAGGGGCAGAAGCAGGAGCGGTGTGCTTGGGGGAGCACCAGGGAGTGAACCTAGTCCATTTATGAAGATAGGTGGTACGAGTGGATTGCGTTCTGCTATGTAACAGTACGTTTTGTATCTGTTCAGAGCAATCTAGTTCCTCAGTAGAGAATCATTGGTTTGAGGTGCAGCATCATTACGTTGGGGTGGTGTAGTTGACCCGTGTTGTGATAATAGGTTCGGAAGGGGGGGAAGTGGAATCAGTGGGCAAACTGACATCCTCGTTAAAAATGAGTACAATGCCTGTCTGGGCCACGTAGGGGCTATTAGTATGACTCTAGCCCTCTCCGCTCGCATTTTTCCGTAGGTGCACTGTTGCCACCGCGAGAATCATGGAAAAGACGCGGGATGCTGTTGAGAGACCAAAGGGTAGAACCCTGTATTGATAGTGATTTAAGCCCATAACAAATCTGAGAAAACGCCTGTGGGCGGGGTGTATAGTTACATGAAAATAAGCATCCTGCAGGTCGAGGGCTGAAAACCAATCTCCCTGCTCCAGTGCTGGAAGTATGGCTGTGAGGGTAACCATTCTGAATTTTTGCTTTCTGATGAACTTGTTGAGTCGCCTGAGGTCAAGGATGAGTTGCCATCTCCCACTTTTCTTTTCTGTCAAAAAGTAGTGGGAATAAAAACCCTTTCTCCTGTGCTGATCGGGTACCGTCTCCACTGCTCCTATTTGTAGAAGAAGTTGCACCTCTTATTGGAGGGGGGTCCCTGAAGAGGGATGAAGTGGTGGGGGCGAGGAGGTATGGACAGGAAGGGGATGGAATAGCCCAATCGGATGACCTCTAGGGGCCATCTGTCCGTAGTGATAGCTCTCCAGTTGTGGTAGAATGGGAGTAAATGGTGACCAAAAGGCTGGATGAGAAGTATAAGCGCTGGAGTGGGTGGGAGGTCTTCTATACCCTCGACCAAGGCTTCAGATCTGCTTATTAGATGGAGGGAGTTGCAACGGTGCCGATGTTGTGAGGCGTCGTCATTGATGCCTGGGTCTCTGGCAGTGTTGCTGTTGGTGGTCGTATGGCCTCTGTTGTTGTGTGTGGGCTGGGTATCGTGGGCATTGGTAAGGCTGATACCTGTATTGTCTTCTTCTAGTTTCCGGTGTATGGATGCCTAGGGATCTAAGCATTGCTCTGGAATCCTTCATGGTGTGCAGCACCTCATTGGTTTTTGCTGCAAATAACTTCTCGCCATCAAAGGGAAGATCCTCCACGGTGTTTTGAATCTTGCATGGGAAAGAAGAGGTAAACCATGAAGCCTGACGCATCACTACGGCCGTCACACTGGACCTGGCAGATGTGTCCGCAGCATCAAGGGCAGCCTGCAATGCCGTGCGGGAAATAATCTGCCCTTCAGAGGGTATTGCTTTAAATTGGTGTCTCTTGTCCTCTGGGACGTCATTAAGTCCATGAGTTTCCTGTAATTTTTGTGATCATATTTGGCCAGTAGGGCCACATAGTTTGCCACTCTAAATTGCAGCGTGGTTGATGCATAAACTTTGTGGCCGAGTAGGTCCATTCTTTTTCTGTCCTTGTCAGAGGAAGTGGACTGGAAATGCTGCTGTTTGTTCTTTTGGTTGGCTGATTCCACTACCAGTGAATTTGGTGCTGGGTGTGTGAAAAGGAATTCTGAGCCTACCCGGGTGACAGAAGTGAAGAGGGAATTGCTCGGCTGCATGAAACTAGGAGTATAGGGCAATGGCACTGAATACTGGCACCACTGTCCACAGGCAATGGTGATTTTAGCTGATATCTCCCTCCTGAGGGTAACCAGGGCACAGAGAGCACAGCTGGCATCCTGAAGCCGCTTGGGCCCGTATGCTGCTAGCCTATGTACTGCAATTGTGCCAGCCTAAGTTATCGCTGACTGGTGTGGGAAAGCATCCTATGGCAGAGGAAGAAATAAGGCTGCCAAACCTAGATGCCTTTGGCAGGGGATTGCAGATACTGCCAAGAAAGTTCCATTAAGATCTCTCAGGAGGATTCAAGGGACATCTCCGACAGCTAGGGAGACCAGTACTGGGTGGTGTTTATATGGCTAGACCAGCTCCATGCCACATTTGGGCTCCCCACACAAGGGATCTCCTCAGCTGTCCTTTATGGCAGCTCACCTTCTGCCCTGTAGTGCAAAGGTGACGAGCAGGGGCTGAGGATCTAGCCCTTTGGCCTGGCCAATATTGTTCCTTGATAGCATCTTTTCTCCATCCTAGAGTGGTCAGTGATTTCAGGCTGTTACCCCAGAGCCTATTTGCTGCCCTCTGAAGGTGCAGATGTACAGCTTTGGCACATATGCCACCTTTTCCCCTCTTTTCCTGACCGTTATCTGAGCATTCACTAGAGCTGCAGCTTTAGTTGCAAGATCATCTAAGAGGGAATTTTAGGAAAATTATTAATAATCCGGAATGATACTACAAAGGTACCAGTTGCCTGGATGACACTTCGCTAGAAGCATTGTACCGTCCCTCTAGGGTGTTATTCCTTTTTACACATTTACATTTGCTTCCCGTGGCACACACTCAAAGTGAATAGCTGGAATCATTTTATGCATGTGATCTCCATATGTCATTTTCAGACCCAGTAAATTTCAGCATAGGTGTCATCCATCTACGCTCCCAGTCATCACACGCAATCACATGCATGAAATAAAACCACATGCGTCATACACATTCTTTGAGATTAGGAGGCGCAGCCTGAGTGGGTTACCTTCAGTTTTGATCCTCAGTGCTGTTCTGACCAATGCAAAGAGGGTGGCATTAAACATGACAGTCCCATCACTGTTCAGTGGCATATTCATAGAGACTAGGCGCTATGGGGTAGGGAGAAGAAACAGAACAATCATGCAGTCAGCACACACTACTCAACAACACGTTTTTTCTCATGCCCTCACACCACTCTCCAGACTTATCACCCCTCCCACCAATGCAGACACAGTCCATGTGTTTGGTTACACAGATAGAAAAGGATTCTTCATACCATCATAACAGTAGAATCTGTTTGCCCAGAGGCATATATTACAGTACTTCAATGTGAATAACCCCTTCTAGGTCGGGACATAATTTATCTCTCCACTTTCCCCAGTAGCAAGTGGGCATGTACCCACAATGCATCTACACAGACTGGTATTTATTACAGTAGAAGCAACATTTTACATTTACATGGCATCTTTAATTCCTAATGATTGTGAAGTGCTTTGCAATCTATAAGGAATCACTTTGCCCACCACTGAAATGTAGCTACCTCTGGTGCAGAGCTGTTTATCAGATCACAGAAACTCTCCACCACCTTTTAGGACATGAAGTTAATACCATATCCTACTGCAACTGCATGGAGAATTTTAGAGAGGCAGACTATAGCTGTCTAAATCAGAATGTGGATGATAAACTGGAATTAACATCCTTCCCCTTGTGCCAGGTGATCTATAATGACACAAGAGCCTTGATTTTACATTTTATCCTAAAGATGGCACTGTCACTAACACTTTGCCCTCAACACCTCCACACTGGGCATGGTTCAGTGCTGACTTGGGAGGGAAAAATGCCAGCTGCTGACTCCCCACCTCCACTTTCTGCAGTTCCAAGTTTCAGTGATTCAACCAGACGTTGCTTAGCATGCGAGAGCTGGCAAAATAACAGGCTGAAGTGGTCTGGTTGCAGCCACAAAAAGTAATGTATTTCTGCCCAAAGCCTTGTTATATTCTAAGACTGATAATAACCAGCTACAAGAGGAACATGTAAACTTTATAAGTCTCTGGAGAAGGACAAATTTGTCCATAGAGGAGAAAGGAAACACAAAGGCTAGAAACAGATCCTTCACAAGGGCAAATCCTTTCTGATGACTGGAAGCTTTTAACTAAAGAACTGAGGAGGAAATTTTCACACACAGACTCTCCTCCCTTCCCCCTCTTTTCTCTTATTTCAATATGTAGGTAATACTGCTGTTTAGTCTGTAGAAATTATTTAAGGAATGATAACCCATCCCAGGTGCATTAGGTACGAAGAAAAATCTAAAAGCTATTTCCCCTCCCCTGTTATTTCTGTCTACCTTTCAGAGACCATATCTATCTTATCTATTTATCTGTCTCTACTGCATGCATACATCATTGATATTTGAGGGCTACAGTTATCCAAGAGCCTTATTAGTCCACATAGTAGCTTGATATGGCTAATGGATTCCCACCAGGGCACTGAGTGCAACTAGAAACTGCCTGCCGTCTCTCAACAGAAGAGCCCTGGGGAAGGTTACTCCCATCTGAAATAGGCCAGGGGATAGGATTACAGTATACCGGGTTCGGAGTAAACACATACTATTCCTCTCTTCCCCACTAGGGGGCAGCAGACCTCCTCAGATGGGTCTTTATAGCCTACATGACTGTTTCCCCAGCTAATATGTCTATAGCATCTACCACTATGTATACCTGATAATTCCTGTGCCAGGGAGTCTGCAAACTCTAGCAAGGAATCTATAATATAGGCTAACAAATGGCCTGACTAGAAGCTAATAAAGCAGCAAGCAGTGTTTACCAGATAATTCCCCAGAACCTACGCTCTAGATTATCAGTAAATGAAGCTGTAATTTGTTACATCTGTGCTTCCTCTGAGATGTTCTTCCCTCCTCCAACCTCCCCCCAACTGCACTGTCTTACTTTGCAAGCCACTCGATGAGGACAGAGCTTCCCAAAGCCCAGCGGAGGCTGAATCCGCCGGAGCAGCGTCACCACGTCCAGGTGTTTGATCCGTCCCCTGGGGAAGAAAATATAATATTGATGATATAAGAGCCTGCCAATCCATCTGGAGAGGGCCTGAGAGCAGATGCTGTTAGAAACATATATGAGGTCTCCATCCCAAGATTTCCAGAACCACTCTGTGTTAACGTGACATAGCAGGTGGCTTTATACAGCGCCTCTCATACTAAGTGTATCTCTCCAGCCTTGCACAGCCATGAGTTAGCTCCTACTAGTTTGAATGTGTAAGAAAACACAACAATCATTATACACTTAGGCCAATATTTGCAAAATTGGCCATGGATTTCAGTGCCTCAGTTTCTGGGTGCCCAACCTGACACTGTGGGCACCCAAAATATTGAATCATCCAAAATCAGTGGTCACCTTTGAAAACATTGACCTTAGTAAATAGCATTGCAGACAGGGCTGGCCTTGTGACCCACGCAGCTGCACGAGGTTTCTCTTTTCCTGGTGCTCTGTCTCAGTCACAACCCTGATCCACCATCCCTCAATTCTTGTTTATGCTCCTATCTGTCTCTGTGGCCAGTGGGCAATGGAAAGAATCCAGTCCCTTAATGCCTCCATACACCCATTTTGAAAGCTGCAATTTGGCTTTCCAAATTTTGTAAATGGGTCATCAAAAGTGAAAAACTCAAACAGGGAAGGGACGGGAGTTGCCACAACCAGAGTTGGAATCTCAGGCTGGCAGGGAGTGGCATGGACATACAGACAGGATTGAGAAAAAGAGACCATTTACAGGTGGATCCTTACAGGTGATATTTGTCATATGGCTCCAGCAACATATGGCTAACCCTATTTACAAAGAGTCCTGGGGCTTGTTTACACATGAGAATTAATCTGGAATAAAGAAGGATGTGAATTTCAAATAGGTTAACTATTTCCAATTAACTCCATGTGTGGATGCTCTTATTCTGGAAATAAGAGTGCCCTATTCTGAATTATCTTAAACCAAGTGGATTAAGCTAATTTGGAATAAAGCATTCTTATTCAGGAATAAAAGCGTCCACACATGGGGTTAGTCAGGGATAGTTCCTCAGGAACGGCTATTCTGAAATAACTCCCCATGTCAACATGCCTTGGATACTAGGGCCTGTTTTATTAGCAAATTGAATGTTTATTCCAGCACTGAGGCTCTCTCTTATCTTTATTGAAAATTGCTTTGGACAGCCACCAGGGATGGCCAAAAGGGACCTCTGTTTAAATGTCACTTCCAACAATGTGACACAGCCCCAAATGCTGCACAGCCAGCATTAGCTATGAATCCAATGAGTCCTGAACTCATGATCTCTTTGTCAGAGCCAAGTAATTTACACCCATGTGAAGGCCCCTTTACACTGTCAGAGTGCCTTAAAGAGGTCTAGTGTGAAGGAGCATCAGGCCCAAGAGTGTTTCAGACTGAGTCAATTGTGGGTCAAATTCTCCTGTCAGTTGCTCTTGTGCAAACTTATTAACGTTGGTGGAGTTGCAGGGGTGGAACAGAGGGGAGAATTTGGCCCTCCACATGCAATGCATATATGCAGTGATGCAGGCTGCGGCTGGCACAACCACATCGCTGCTGGCATGTGGATGACACATGGAAACACAAAGGGTACGTCTATACTTACCTCCGGGTCCGGCGGTAAGCAATCGATCTTCTGGGATCGATCTCGGAAGTGCTCGCCATCGACGCCGGTACTCCTGCTCGGCGAGAGGAGTACGTGGAGTCGACGGGGGAGCCTGCCTGCCGCGTGTGGACCCGCGGTAAGTTCGAACTAAGATAGTTCGACTTTAGCCATGTGAATAACGTAGCTGAAGTTGCGTATCTTAGTTCGAAGTGGGGGGTTAGTGTGGACCAGCCCAAAGAATGAATGCTGCAGCTTTGGTGTGAGCCAAATTTGGGATGCAGAGCAGAAGGCATAAAAGTAACAGAGTCCAGGTCATATAAGGGCACACAGACCTGTTTCTATGGCTACCCAAGAAGGGTCAGACTGGCCAGGTCACAGGCTGGGACTCAGTACTACAGCATGTGATCCAGCGTACCAATCCACTCAACAAGCCTCCTTCTTAATGCATATCCCCCACTGGCCTGTTTATTAATCTGATAAATGGCCTATATTTTTCCAAGCTGTGCACAATTTAAAATTACTTGCAGCTGGGAAAAAAAGCAGACCATTTACTAGACTTTCTACTGCTCACGTATCCTGGAACAGGCTGCTTCTCTATCTGATTCACATGTGGAGAGATGGGGGAGGTTTCAGCTTCTGCTTCCCTTTTAGAGTTTTCACAGAGATTTACATACAGCTGGATTTGCTTCCTGCCATGAGAAGATGCTACCCTATTGCATTGGGTCTGGGATGCCAGACTTTTGAGAGAATAGAGACTGTGCACCAGAAGTTAGCATGTTCTAAAGTTCAGGCCTAGTCACTTACTTGGCTTCAGGGTCATACTCTGCCCAGATCCTTTTAAACTCGTCAAGGTGATGTGGCCCCAGAATGGACCAGTCCCGTGTCAAGTAGTCAAAGTTATCCATAATAACAGCCACAAAAAGATTGATAATCTGCAAACAAAGACAGAGGTGATGTGAAGAAGGAGGCATGGAACACCAGACTTTACTTGGCTTCCAGTTTGCGTCCAAAACCTGGCCCTGTGTGGTTTGACTGTCTCTCTTCTCATAGGTGACACCATGTCAAGTGAGATAAGCAGAGGTTCTTGATTTAAATGAAAGGTGTTGGAGGCAAGATGTTCTTAGCAAGGACCCCTCAAATCTTGCTCCCCACAACTGATTGATGAAGCCCATGTTTGCTGAGCTTTTGGGCATGCTGCAGGGCCTACCTATTTATACAGGCTTTTTCCTGAGAGGGGCCTGGGGTTTTTTTCCCTTGGGGGCAGAGTTGGAGTCATTTACTGGCATTGAGCCAAATGGTTTAAAAATATTGTAGACATTTTCTAGGAGGGTGTTTGCAGCTCTAATGGCCAGCTGCACAGTGCGTGCTGCTGTACTGCGTAATACCAGGAGAACTGCACTGCCAGGACAGAGCAGATGCAAGTGGGATATGCCGTTTTCACAGTAATAGCAGCAGTGGATAAAAAACAGATGGAAGGTAGGAGGGAAGGTGGGAGTGAGGCGCTGGTGGCCTCACTTCAGACCTCAGGCCACTAATCTGTTTTTCTGATGGGAGGTGTCCTTGTTTATATTGTGACTGGCTGTTGAACTTGGTCTAGAGAGAGGCTCCTGAGCATGAACTGTGGGGATCAATTATCACTGTCATGTGAGGCCATTGTGGACAATGTGTATCAGATTTTCTATGTATGAGATCACTTTTCTGCTACGCAATGTCTGTGCCCAGGGAAGTAAAGGGTTACTGCGCAGTCACAGGCCAGTACCATGTATGCTGACTCACCAAGAAGGCACAGAGCATGTAGAAGCTGATGAAATAAAAGATGGAAAAGCTGCTCCCACAGGAATGGTCGCCTTCGGTAGAGTTGGTTGGCTCTGACTCAGGATCGCACTTCTTGTCTGGCAGACAATCAAGCATGATGTCCTGCCAGCCTTCACCAGTGGCACACCTGGGCATAAAGGGATACTTGAGAATGGGGACGTGAAGTCAACAGTGATCACTTCAAAAGGGAAGCAGTAGTAAGCACATGAAGAGCCTTCTCCTGCTCCCATTGAAGTCATGGCCTACATACAATGGGTGATGGGACAGGTTTAACATGAACTGGCATGTTCCTTTCCTTCTAGCTTTGTTGCTATCATCATGTTATCCATTACTAGAGCACCTGCTTTTGTATACCATGGATACGGGGCTGCCATGTTCTGACCAGATGTTTGAGGAGATTTTTGAGGGGCTGGAAGGAGATCAGCATTTTGCTTCTCCCATTTTGTGTTCCCTCATCCTTTTCTTCCCTGTCCTCTCCTGAGCTGCCCATTTCCCCTGTCCTCACTCCCTGTAAACCTGCAGGCAATGTAACAGTGGTGTACCCCTGCAAACTCTTTCCTTCAGTTGGTCCAGTCCTCAGCACTCTCTGCCCTGCCTGACACAGATAGCCAGAGCTGGGTGCCAAACACCAGTTAGGGGAGGGATGATGTGTCAAACTGAGCAAGGAACAGTGCCCTGATTGGTGTTTGGCATCCCATTCTGAGTACATACTCCACAAGGGAGTGAGGGAAAGGGACAGACTGCCAAAGCAGCAATAAATAACCTGAACAGGTAGTGGAGGTTCTGGGGGGAGTCTTGTCAGGCCTATGGATGCTGTATACTGGCTGAACGCTACTGAACCCTTAGTGGGAGAAAGATCTGGGGGTCCTAGTGGATGAAGTACCATATAAATATAGGCACAACAGTAAACAAAAGGAAGATATGTACATCGAGATAGCATATTACAGGATATCAGCTGATCAACAACTGGGTCAAGAAATTTCCCCCTGTGGCAGAGTATTTTCCATTGTGGGAGTTTTAGGTTTTTCTCTGAAACAGTGCCACTGTCAGAGACAGAATCCTGGACTGCACGGGCCACTGGTGTGTTCCAGCAAGGCAATTATGTTCTGAACATTTAAGGGAACCACTTGAACACTGTGATAAAGGTTCCCTTTCCTGCTGCAGAAGGTCAGAGAGCCAAATGCTTTGGTTGGTTTAAAAGAATGGACGGTTTTGTGATCAATATCAATATTTGTGGCTCAGCTGGGGTGATCAGATTTGATGCTTCAGTGTGTAACTGGTCACCTCAGGGGGAAGGAAATAATTCCCCTCCCCCACATGTAGCCCACTGAACAACTGGATATATGAATTTTTGGGGTGGGGGTGTTGCCTTACTCTGACACATCAAGTATTGGCCATTGCTGGAGGTAGGATATCAGGCCAGGCAGACCAATGGTCTTCCCCAAAATAGAAAATCCTAGGTTCTGGATTTGGGATACTGTATTTCTAATCATCTCATGATCAAGATATGGTAAAAATGGAGAAGACATGTCCAGATGCACAGTCACCCTCACAGTCCAAAACTCCGCGGCACCCACCTGAAGAGTAGCAGCACTGCTTGTGGGAACGTCTGAAAGTTGTTGTTGCGGTTTATATACGAGGTATCATTCAGAGCAATTTTACCAAATACCTAGCAAAAAGCAGAGGTCTCGTCAACTTAGCCTTGTAGCCCCCAAAACACTCTTGTCAGCTGTAGTTCCTTACATCTTAGTGATTATGAGCACTAAAGCCTTCCCCCTTCCTACAAGATGTTTCCTGCTGGTTTCCAATATTTGCTACTCCTCCTCCTGTTTGTGCTATATCACTGGAAAAGCACCTCACAGAAACAAGAGGCACATTCTAATACACCATTAACATAACTAATCATTCATTATTGCATGTGCCATGAAAATGTGACATGGGGATCTCATTTCAATGTGCACTCACACTGGATGTTTTCAGTGGAAAGAAAAATAATGAGAGAGGAGAGGCTGCAATTTTTCTTTCCTTCACTGGCGTTCCTGAGGCTCAGGCTGGGTCTACACTACCCGCGGGTAGAAATCGACCTCTCGGGGATCGATTTATCGCGTCCCAATCGATCCCCAAATCGACGCTCTTACTCCACCAGCGGAGGTGGGAGTAAGCGCCGTCGACAGGAAGCCGCAGAGGTCGATTTTGCCGCCGTCCCTACAGCGGGGTAAGTCGGCTGCGATACGTCGAATTCAGCTACGCTATTCGCGTAGCTGAATTTGCGTATCTTAAATCGACCCCCCCCCCCGTAGTGTAGATGTAGCCTCAGACTGCACTAGGAGAAAAAGCATTGCAACAGAGCACTGTCTGGACTGCCCAGTGTCTATAAGATGCCTTGCATCTGCACACAACAGCTGTGCCCTAGTATAGTGTAGAGCCTCACATTTGGAATTTACCCCCAAGGGTCTATAGCAACAGTGCTTGGTGCTAGGAGATAGGCGTTTCAGGAACCCCAGAATGCAATGGTGCAACCATGTCTGCCAGGTGTCCTGGGTGTGATTGCTTCAAAACAGTTCTGCCCCAAACCAGCACTGGTGCATGGACACTGGAACAGGGGCAAGAATAAAAAAAAACCTATGGGGTGAATCCTGCAGTCCTTACTTGGGGCAAAACTCCCATTGAAGTCAATGAGAAGTATGATTAAGGACCGCACAAGGACATACAGGACTTGGTGATTGACCCTGATAAAAAATGAAGGCAATGGGAATCTTTCCATTGATTTCAATGAGTTCTGGATCAGACTTTTTCTGAGTAATACTTGCAGTGCTAGTGAATCCTCCAATGGCTAACCAGGAGCACCTCAGGCAGGGAATAGGGAGAAAAGAGAGCAGAATTGCTATGCAGAGGGAGGGCAGGGGAAAGAGAGAGAGAGTACAGTATGTAAAGAGGATGTGGCAGGATGAGGAAAAGGAGAAATCAGAAGACAAGGAGAGTGGGGGGAGGAAGAGGGCAAAGCATGCAGAGCGACAGTTACTGAGAGAGAAAACCTATCAGAAGCCTTGAAATATCTTTTAAAGCAGAGGTTCTTCAATTCTGATCTGTGGAGCTCAGCTGCTCCGTGGAGTTACTGCCATCTGAGAGGCAAAGCTTTCATCATTGCAACAATATGAGGTCCTGCCATGCTAGGAAGTTTTAATGGCTTCTTTGGATGCCTGCCAGAACTCCCTTGTATGCATGTGTTTGGGCTGCTATACAGACAGGAAAACCTATTAACAAGTCTCTTTCTTTGTGTGTTTTGGTTTGATTGGGGCTTTTTGGGTGTAAAATTCAACATAATCAAATCTGCTGACAACACTGAAGCCAGGGAGGAAGTAAACACAGAGAGGCAAACTGCAGAGCGACCTGTAGAGATTCGAGTCAGGGCTGTAGGCAGCGCAGACAAATGCAGCACTAGTAAGCGCAAAGTCCTACATGTAAGGAGAGGAAATAAACGGCACAAGTATACCAGGGGGAAAGGTAACTAAGCAGCCAGCCCCATCATACCAAACTGACTTCATTTCCATCCTCTTTCCCTAACACATTACTGTTCTAATGATACTTCTTAGGAATTCAGTCAATCTAGTTCCTGCAGGGAAGGTGTGGGAGCCAGTTGAGGAAGGCAGGTGTCCGCCAGAGAATTACTGTCTTAAGGATCAAGTAGTGGTCTGTGATACAAGCAAAGAAAGTTTAAGAACCACTGATTAAAAACTTGGGGAAAAAAACAAAGGTGCATCCCCATTCACTTCAGTGGAGTTAGATCAGGGATGAATCCGGGCACTAAGCAGCCCACTTATTAAAGGGCATCCTCCTCAGTGAATGTACTTGTACTCGAATCTTGGTATTTATCAGAGCTGAGGGAATCTGCAATTTTGCTTTGGTAGGGCTTGCGCAAACATTTTCTTCAGTTGCAGTCCATGTGGCTTCATCCACCCCTATCCCTTATGCTGCTCTGAGGGGGGGGGACTGGCTGTGGGTCAGCCTTAGGATTGAAGGAGACTGGCATTAGGTTCCCAAAACTGGAAGAGCGTAAAGGTGGGTTAAAGCTATCTTTGCTCCCCTCCAACTCCACCAGTTTTGCACCAAGCTCAGCTTAGTCAGATCACAGAATCCAGCCCACAATCCTCAACGAATCTGAGATGAGCAGGGTCTGGGTTTTGAGTTTGTAATGACACCCAAAGGCAGGGGAGTTCAGATGGTTTCAGGCTTCCTTGAAAGCAGCTTGTATAGCTTTAGTTTTTATAGCCACCGCTGCTAAGAGCTGAGGAAGCTTAGCCAGGCCAGAAAGTTCTCTTAGAACTTCAACTACTCAGGGCTCTTTATTCCCCATCTGACATCATCATGATGCTGATTTAAAGGACAGAGTGTTGTAACCTTATAGCCAGAACGAGTAGCAAGAACTGAGTGACTCTGGAGGAACAAAGAGCCTCTTTGCATGCAAATATCCTCAGTAATTAAAAAATAAATAGAAGGAGAGAAGTACAGGGAGAATTACAGGGAAACAGTTCCATCTCAGAAGGGCCATCTTTAAATAGAATGCTCTTCAAGAGCCCTTTGGGCTTCTCCTGGTTCAGATCCCCCCTCTCTCTGGTGAGCAGTGACAGCCCCAGCTGCACTGAGGAGGCGCTGGGAGTAACTGTTGTGGGAGGACAGCTCAAATACTCAGAGGCAGCTTGAGTTGAGGCAGCCCATATTTTTCCTTTCAGGAGACGGTACATGAGGGAGTTTCCCTGTTGGAAGAGCCTGACTGTCCTTTTAACTACCCAGCTTCAACTCATATAAGGCACTGGCAGTGTTACTACAGGCTTGCTACACTACTCAGCAGTGAAACGGAGCGTGAGGGAAGAGCTGCAAGTAGAGGAAGATGCAGGAGGAGGTTCCTCCCTCTTGTCCTTTCCAGACAGTGCCTCTTGGGCTATCATCAGACTGGTAGCTTCATCCATCAGCATCAATTTGTATTTTTCCACTTGGGCATGTTAGGTAGTGAGCCTTGAATATTGTTACACTTCATGTCAGAGAGGTAGCTAAGATGAACTGATAGGCCTTCTTTATATAGGAAATTCTTATGTCATTGTCAAGGTATTGTCATGCTAATGACATTGTCATCTAGGCTTTCAAGTGAGCTACTCAACAGTGAGATACTGAAGGCTTTCTTCGAGAACTCTGCTTCGGCAGGCTCAGGACAGCACACAAACCGGGGGGCATAAGTGCGAACCAACTACCTGTAATTACGTTATTGCCTTTGGCACAGTATACGACAACGAACATTATAACGGGTCTGAAGAATCTAAGTGATGAAGAACGATCAAAGACTGGGCTTCTCACTGGAAAAGCAGAGACTAGAAGGTGACCTAGCAGAGGTCTTTGGAATTTGGAAAGGGATCGACACAACTGATAGACATCTGGTTTTCCCACTGCTGAGATGGTTAAAAACAGGGGATTGAATCTAAAATTAGGATTAAATAGGAAAGTCAGGCATAACTACTTCTCACAAAAGATAATAGAATTATTGGATCATGCACCTAGATATTACAGTGACAGGCTCATTCGAGATACTATAGACAGATAGGCACACAGAGGTCATCATTAAATGGTAGTAGTAGCAGCTAGGTAACGTTAATGCAGTATTCCCAAATTGTTCCCTATACTGTATAGGGAATACTAGGAAGATCTTGGTAACATTAGCTAGTTAGATTAATAAAGGCAAAACTGGAAAGTTTTAAAAGGTGACCACTCTAATTGGAGAGCTAAATAGACAGAGTTATTGAGGAGGCAACAGAGACAGTCTAAATTAATTCAAGAGATACCAAGCTTTGTTTCTTGAGAAAGAGGAGACTAGAGTAGACAGTGAAAAGGTGGTAAATTGGGGTTATGATAAAAATAATAAAACAAAATGAGATATAGCAGATCAGATGAATTTTGCCTAACCTTTCTTACATTCTTTCTAACAATTTCTGGTTCCATCGTGAAGCATAAGAACTGTGGGATGGTGAAAGACCTTTGGAAGTGATACACCATTCCTTTCTTTTTTTTGGTCTCTAACCTCTGATGGTCTGGTAGTTGTTCTGAGACCTTTGATTAACTAAGAGGTGGAAAGTAAAGCTTAGCATGAAAAATCATCACCAGTAAGTGAGGCAGGAATGCAACGTATAGCTGGGACAGTCACATACTGTGTGCACATCAATAGCTTTTTCCACTTGTCTGTATACAGTATCAGTCATTTGCATAGATTAGTGCTCATGCTGGTTCCAAATTTGTTTTCGGAAGCGGAATACAATATAGTACTGATGCAGTTTCATGAGGAATTGGCACAAGTAAAGAGTTGAGATGTTGGGTCTGATCATACTTTTACTTACACTAGTGTAAATCACAAGTAACTCTGTTGAAGTCAATGGAGTGACACCGATGTGAAAGTGGGGTGAGAGAATAATCAGGCCTGATCACCACCATGACCAGGAGCCATTTGAACTGATTGCTGTGTGACAATGAGCAAGCCAGTAAACCACCTTTGATACGGCTGTAGGGATATTCCTTTGGGAGGTTGGGTGGCTGTAATGTTCTTTTTATGGTATACTCTGTGGTCTCCTACATAGTGGTTTTGTTTGGTTTGGCTGGTGTGGTTGTCAAGTCCTGTTGGCAGTGCAAACCCAGTCAATGTTTTCTGAATTGACTCAGGCTTATTGTCTGAGCTCAACTTCCTAAATGCCTGATTATATGGCTAGGAGAGGAGCTACATGTAGGACCAGAAAATGATCTGGTGATTTCTTGTGCAACTATCCTCCCCAGAATCTCATGTGTGAAAGATAACATAGCTCTTGAGAATCACCTACCTGCATTCCAATCACCGCATAGATGAAGAATAACATCACTATTAAAAGAGCCACATAGGGGAGAGCCTGGAGGAAAAAAAATAACAGAACACATTGTATCAATTAAGCAGATAACTTGGCATGCTGGAGCCAGGCATATTCTACTGGGGCCCTGCTTTATCAAGATGGCCTGAGGAGAACAGTGCCAGTCCAGAATCAATTAAGGTCTGCAATTTATCCATTTGACCACTAGATGCCTCTACTGATCCACATCTGATTTCACCAAGGTGCCTCAAATACAGCCATTGTACCACCCAAAACAAGATAGGCCCAATTATGCTTTCACTTACACTAGTGTAACTCCACAGACTTCAATGGAATCGCTCAGTTGTACACCAATGAAAGATCAGAATTAGGTCCGATCTCTGCTCGTCTTCCAAATGTAGAAAACTTATAATTAGCATCGCCCTGATATTAGCAGCAAGTGATGCTCATTAGTGTGACGTTCTGCAGCTACATTGGTGAAATGAGAAGTGCGTAAAGTGCCAAGACCAAAGTTCAAGGCTCCTCCTGCTATGGCTGATGATATCACAAGCACCAAAAGCAGCATGAGCTACATTCCCTGCTCTGAGTTAGGTATCTATGATAGTGTCAGAGATGCGTTCAGTGTCTGTGATCAGCTGTTGAAAAGGAAATGCAAAGTCCTGATAGCTAGTGCTGGCTTGTAAGTAGGAGACCTGCCCTGTGAGATGCTGTGTGTCCTCAGCTTTCTCAGCTATGTTTGTATTTTGTATAATTTAAAATAAAAATAATAAAATAATAATGTAGCATGTATTAATGTATGATTTGACCATATCCTGCCTGCCACCCTTTTTGAATAGGAGAAAGGAATAGCCTAATATGCCATTGGCAAAAATGCATCAGCCAGAATTTCTTTGTGTCTGGACTGATTTCAAGGCAGTAACAGACCATTTTGTTGTAGGTTTAGCATTTAAAAATAAGTAAAAGAATGCCATGATTGTTTTCTTTTGCATTGCAACTTGATGTTCCTGTTCAAAATGTTCTGTGTAAATTAATTCTGTTTTGTGAGTGAATGAGGAATGTATGTATTAAAAAATAAGTGTGATGGCCATTGCTAAACCAGATGGTCTAGGGAGGAACCGGAGACAAACGCAAAGGCGCCAGGAGGCTGCAACACGCCCCTATTAAAATATCAAAAAAGGGCAAATTAACAACTTTAAAAATAAAACAGCCACTTATCAATAAAAACAAAATAGCTGTAATCAAAACCAGCATAAAATAACTCCCTAAAAAATGTAATAAAAAAAAACAATTAAAAAAAACAAGCACTCGTCAAACAACAATTAATTACAGCATAATGGTGCAAACCTCATTAGTCCCAATTAAAAAAAATCACTATATAAACAGGGTGACTTGCCATAAAACTTTGGGCTCGTCCTGCCAAGACTTCTCCAGACCATCGTGTCGTGACCGACAAAACCTGGCTCCTCCCTTCCTATGATCAACCTAACTGGCCACTAGATTGATCCGGACTCTGGACTAGTAACTATAATATCGACTGGTGGAACAGCGTGTGTGTGTGTTGTGACAGACCCAGACCAGTGGGGTACAGGAGTCTGGTAGAGGGCAAATATACTGGCCACTGGATGAGTAGTTTTCTGTTCCCTGAGTGACCAGAGCAGGGGCTGCACTAGAGTAATCAGGAACCTGCTAGAACCAGTTAAGGCAGGCAGGCTAATTAGGACACCTGGAGCCAATTAAGAAGAAGCTGCTAGAATCAATTAAGGCAGGCTAATCAGGGCACCTGGGTGTTAAAAGGAGCTCAATTCAATTTGTGGTGTGAGTGTGAGCAGCTGGGAGCAAGAGGCGCAAGGAGCTGAGAGT